TCTCAAGAAAGCATTTTTAGACTTCCGGTCAAGATGGAGGTGTAAACACGGCTTACCTCCTCGCACAACCACAGCAAAGATTACAACTAGACTACAAAAAAAAAATCACCCAGAGTAATCATAAAATCGAGCTGTATGGAAGTTCAACAACCAAGGAAATAAAGAAGCAACATTCATACAGATGGGGAGGAGGGGTGGAGAGGTACAGAGATGTGGAAACACAGAATGGGCAGTCCCACACCCAAGTGGTGGTGGATAAAAATTGGGAGGGATATCTTGGAGGTGAAAGATCCCAAACCCACTCCAGACCACCAAGCCCAGGGTTCCAGTGCCAGGAAGATAAGTCCCCATAACTTCTGGCTATAAAAACCAGTCAAGGTTGGGACAGTGGAAAATTGCAGTATTCTCAGGAATCTCTTTAAAGAGCTGAAAATGGACTTAGGACTTATGCAGATGCATTCCCTCTGGGCTCTAGCACTGAATCAGCAGCTGGAAGGGCACCAATGGCATACAGGAAGAAACTGAAGTGTCTGGCATCAGAGCAATTGCTGGGAGACAGCTTCCTCCCAGACAATGCTCCAGAGGCTAAGCACTGGCACTGTCTGCTTTCTGAGCCAACCCCTACACAGAGCCACAAAGTAGCAACATCTTATCAGAGACTCCATCAACCTAATCCACACAGGTTGCCCTACCCTGGTGATTATCCAAGGTTCTGCCACACCCAACTTACCCGTGTACTATTCTACAATAGCCCACCATGCTACCAAAGGCAGAGAGTCAAAGAAGCTCTACCCAATACATAGAAACAAACACTGTGAGGCTGCCAAAATGAAGAAACAAAGAAATATGGCCCAAATGAAAGAACAGAAGAAAACTCCAGAAAAAGAACTAAACAAAATAGAAATAAGCAATCTGTCAGATGCAGAGTTTAAAACACTGGTTATAAGGATGCTCAAGGAACTCAAAGGGTACTTCAACAGCATAAAAAAGACCCACGCAGAAATGAAGATTACACTAAGTGAAATAAAGAACAGTTTATAGGGAACCAATAGTGGAGTGGATGAAGCTGAGAATGAAATCAATGATTCAAAATGTAAGGAAGGAAAAGACCAATTGTATCCAATTGGTACAGGAAGAAGAAGAAAGAACCCCAAAAACAAGGCTAGGCTAAGGAGCCTCTGGGACAACTTCAAATGTACCAACATTTGAATCACAGGGGTGCCATAAGAAGAAACGAGCAAGAAGCTGAAAGCTTATTTGAAAAATAATAAAAGAAAACTTCCTTAATTTGGTGAAGTAAATAGACACACAAGTCCAGGAAGCACAGAAAATCCCAAACAAGACAGACATAAAGAGGATCACACCAAAACACATCATAATTAAAATGCCAAAAGTTAAAGAGAAAGAGAGAATCTTAAAAGGAGCAAGAGTAAAGCAGGTAATTATCTACAAAGGAGATCCCATAAGCCTGTCAGCTGATTTCTCAAAAGAAACTTTGCAGGCTAGAAGGGACTGGCAAGAACTATTCAAAGTGATGAAGAGCAAGGACCTACAACCTAGGTTACTCTGTTCAGCCAAGCTATCATTTAGAATAAAAGGGCAGAAAAAGTGCTTTCCAGACAAGGTAAAGCTAAAGGAGTTCAGTATCACTAAGCCATTATTATACAAAACGCTAAAGGGAATTACATAAGAAAAAGAAGATCAAAACTATGAATATTAAATGGCAATAAACGTACAACTGGATTCAGATCAAACACTGAATCTAAAAAACAAACTAAGCAAATAAGTAGAACAGAAACAGAATCTTAGATATGGAAATCATTTGGAGAGTCATCACCTGGGAAGAGGAAGACGGAGAATGGAGGAAAAGGTGCAAAGATTAGGAAACACAAATTGGTAGGTACAGAATAGACAGTGGGATGTGAAGAATAGTATAGGAAAATGGAGTAGCCAAAGAACTTACACGCATGACCATAGACATGAATTAAGCGGAGGAGGATATGGAATTGCCAGAGGCAATAGGGGTACTGGGTAGAGGGAGACAAAGGGGGAAAAGTTGGGACAACGTTAATAGCATAACCAATAAAATATTTTTTAAAAAACTCCAACATCTTCCCCATTCTCATTCTCATTAAGAAAATAGATAAAGACAGAAGAAAATTCCCACCACCTACCAATATTTACCCATGTCTTCCCTCTTCATTACGGAGGAACTGTGCACACTCCTATCAAAAGCCACTCTTCCACCTGTACCCTGAATCCCATACCTTCTTGACTCCTCAGGAATGGTTTTCCAACAATTGTGCCCACTCTCTCCTTCATCATCAATTATTCCTTGTCTTCTAGGCCATCTCCAGTAACACACAAGCACGCTATCATTTCTTTCTATAGCATGTTCACCCATACATGCAAATGCTTCTGCCTCCCAATACACATTATTCTACTCCCTTTACTCAAAAGAAATGTCTCTTCAAATTGTCTCCAACTTCCCTACTTCCACACTTTTTAAACCCACCTTAATCAGGCTTTTGCCCATTTTTCCACCCCAAACTGTTCTTTTCAGGGTCACCAAAGACCTCAACATTGCTAAAAAATCGGTCAATTCTTGACTCTCAACGTACCTTAGCAGCAGTTTTTGTCACAGATGGTCACTACCCTGAAACACTCCCTTCCACTAGCATCCAGGACTCGACACTCTCCCTGGTTTCCTATCTCAATGACCACTTCTTTTCAGTTTCTTTTTCTGGTTCCTCTTCATTAGTCCCAAACTCTTAATGTTAGCATGCCCTGAGGTGGCCTCGGTCCTCTTCCTTCTCCACATTTATATCCCTGGTAACTTCATCCATTCTCATGATTTTAATACCATCCACATACTGATGACACCTAAATTTGTATCTGCAGCCCAGAAAATTCCTGTATGCCAGATTCATACTCAACTGCTTCCTTAACATCTCCACTTGGATGTCTGCCTAATAGGCATCTCAAGCATACATGTTGAAAATTAACTCTTTCAACATCTCACCTCCAAACAGCAGTTAATTACAATAGACCTGGAATAACCAGGGATACTGAGACAATACACTCCAGAAGAAAAAACATTTTTTTGGTAAAAAGGTTTTCAGCATCTGAAGGTCAAAACATAACTGTCTGTTTATTCTCCATGGTGTCTGCACATGAGTTAATGAATACATTCTTTTAAATGAACAATTTATTTATATGTGTAAGTGTTAATTTATATGTGTTTATACACACACATTTAAGTGTTAATTCCCCCCAAAAGAATATTTAAAAGCAGTGCCGCAGTAATCTAAAGCAGAAAGACCAGCAATGGTTTTTCTATAATTATGACATATCAGAAAAAAATTTATGTGAATATCAAAGCTGCTAAGGAAAGACAAGTTTAGCTTCTCAAAGGAACTTGTGTTGCCTAAATATTAATAAATACTTAAGAATGTCAGTAAAAGGATCATACATCTGTCCTTTTTTAGTAAGAGAGAAAAACAGATTTTTAAAAATTGCTAGCAACAGCTTTCTGTAATATACCACATTTTAAAAATAAGATTATTTTTAAATAAGATTTAAATTATTTAAATTATATAAAAGATTAAATTATTTTAAAATAAGATTTATTTTCACTAAGATTATTTATAAACATTTTTGAGCCCTGGTTGAGTGACTCTGGTTGGAGTGTCGTCCCATACATCAAAAAGGTTCCGGCTTTGATTCCTGGTCAGGGCACATACCTAAGTTGTGGTTTTGATCCCAGGTTGCAGCGTATGGGAGGCAAACAATCAATGTTTCTCTCTCACATCAATGTTTCTCCGTCTATTCCCCTCCTCCTCCTGCCTCCCTCCCTCCTTCTCTGTCTAAAATCAATGAACATATCCTTGGGTGTCCCAGTTACACAAAATACTATAAAAATTATAGAAACCTAGCCTATAGGCTAAAAAATGGTTTTTATAATTACTAGAAAGAAGTACAATTTGTAGAAAAATTTAAACTGATTGTGAAAGTAGGAGTTTCATTGCAAGTATCTATGACTTATTTGTATTAACCATGTGTAAATTTTCACTATTATCAAAAGAGTAGGCTAATAGTTCTAAAAACCAAAGTCCCACTTATGGAATATGGAAGAGGGTGGGATTCTTGCCACATAGCTCTACTATTTAAAAAACCTAAAATTATTAGTACCCATAGTCTTTGTGGACATTTATAAAAGAATTGACTTCTCAAAGTTCTATATGTCATCCTAACTTTATAAACCAGGTTACAGTTCTGATTATTTATAGTACTAGATGTTAAATTTTAAAAAAACAGTATATTCTATAGTGCAACAAAAACCTTAATCACTATATTATATTTTAAAGAACAGAACAAAGAGGGAAGCCAGTACAAACTCAAAAGTATCTTTTCACATGCCAGCCTTAGGAAAACTTTATGTAACCACTTATAATAATGACTTTAAAATTTGCATAATAATGACATAACAGTGAATATTTCACTAATAACCTGGCAATATAACCCCCCAAAATTAACATTATATAACAGTAATTCAATTTTTTTCTCATTTCTAAATAATTTTCTTTCTAAATAAAAGTGTTATTTTCGAAGAAACTTCAAATTTGATAAAAATCTTCATTAAATTTACCTCAAAAATAAACCATAACAATGTAAGAACATTTTTTAACAACATATTGCAAGAAATACACTTAAAGAAAAAAAACTTTATGAAATATTGGTGAAATTATTTAAATTTCAAAAGATTAAAGCCAATTGTATAAGTTTCAACAGATAACATCTTTATTTATCAACATAATCCTGTAAAATCAAAATGAAATAAATTTATTGCAATCACTCCAAGTCATATCCCAAATTACCAAAAAAAATTACGACAAAAGCATTCTACATAAGTTTTTATATGCCTCTACCACACTTTTGAACTCACTTGGGTAAATATGGATCTTTCCAACAGCAGCAGCAGTTTCTACAAAGTTATTTACCTTGTCCAGGTCTTGCAGTTGCAGCTGCTCCAGCAGATGGTGGCTCAAACTCCTGTCAATTACAATGATGTTACTACAGTGACCTAACACAATGTGCAATTTATAATAAAATAGCAGTGATATATCACAACCTTACCTTTGTTTTCTTTGAGTCTGGATCAAACCTTTCAAGAATTAATTTAGCCGTTTTGTAAGTTTCTTTTTCCATGACTTCTTCAAGCTGAGAACAAAAAGTTCCATAAATTGCCACATTTTAAAACATCCACTACTTATAAGTCCTATTCAAAAAGTGTGTAAGCATAAGACTTAAAATAAACAGCACATTATATATCCAGATAGCATGAAAGACTTCCTATATTCAAATAATTAAAATCCAGAATTTAAAATGACTTGTAACCTCTAATATGTTACTTGTACTTAACAGCTTTACTGCAAGGAAATACCAAATATTACTAATTGTTTACATATAATGAGGAGAATAATTACATGCACCAACTTCAATAATGGAATGTGCAAAAATCTATCAGCCATCATTATTGGAAGTTATTAGACATGACAAGCAAATGACAGGCAATTGCTCAGATTTATTTCCTCATAGCACTTAATGCTATTAATTTAAAGAAGGTCGTTAGCAAGAGCTTTACAAAATAAAATCTCTGTGCCAATTAAGTCCTGTCAGCATCGATTTTAGATTATTTATTAGCAGAAGCAATTAGCTTGCTGCAAATGCAGTGAACACTCACTAACTGAGAGAACAGCCGTGGAATTTGCTCAAATGACTTTAAAAGCTGAAGCTCCCCTCTTTTACTTAGACTCAAACTACTTTAAAGAAAAAAAACATGAACATAGTAAGAATTAAAGTAAAATTTTTACTGACTTCTATGCTCACACTAGGGACTGTAATTAAAACACTTCATTATTATAGCACTTTATTTACAATGCACTCAAGTCACTTTATGGCTTAATACATGGGTTTAATTTTAAAAGTAATCACTAGTAAAGTATCATTTTAGCAGTTATGTCCCAGTATCAGAAAATGTTTACCTTTAGTACAAGACAGTCATAGTTATGACAAATAGCCAATGTGTAGAATAAAATGTTTTTACAATAATTGGAATGGGACCTTTTCCTTATCAGTGACCACAGACTGCCACTTGGATTCATTAAATGCCATATTCCAAAGAACAATTATTTTAAAATGCAACACCGAACACACTTACCAAGTTAAAAATATGCTACTACAATAACAGTTAATAGATTCCTCATTAAAAACTCAATTTAACATTTAAGAAGCTAAGTGCTTAGATGAATGATTTATTAACCTAGGTTTAGTAAACCTAAGACATTTTCCTAATTCAGAAATTCCCAAAGCACGCAAATGAATCTTGTGATGTAGAGGAAATGCTTGTAAGTAACATCACTTTGGAGTTGGGTAAAAACAAAATGAGTGGGGAGAGAGAAGACATTAAGAGGGGATCCTCCCAAAAATGGAATTATCTTCTGGAGGAGAGGTTCCTTGTAGTACAGGCTTCCCCTGTTAAGTGAGTGTTCTAGGAACCCATCTGTATCAGTGTATCAGTTGGTGTTGTGGTGAGAGGCTGCATTCTGCTTCAGTAAATTTGTTCCGAAGACTCTTTCTGAGCGTTTACCCATTTCATGATGTGCTGTTTACGAGCACACCTGCCCATACCACACTGTGTTCAGCAGTTTCTGACCAAAAATGGCATGATCCCTATACCCCACACCTCCTTACTGACCCTATCTCAGCCTCAAGTGACTTTTTTTTGTTTCTGTGGATGAAAAAATTCCTCAAAAGAAAATATTTTGCCTATGTGGAAGGGATGAAACAGAAAACGGCAGAAGCACAATGGTATCAAAACTGTTTTGACCAGGGGAAAATAATGTCTTGATAGGTGTACTGCATCAAATAGAGAGTACTCTGAAGGTGACTGAAGTTTAAACATGTAAGAATACACAATCTTTTATAAATAAATTGTTTATGGGGGGGTCACCCCTCATACATGATAGAATACCTCCAAGTCAACATAATCTACATTGAATATCAAAAAACAATATACCTGATCTCTACAAATTAATTTTTGATATTTTATTTTTTAAGTTTCATTTCTTAATACATTTTTATTTAGACATTTTTAGATACAAGTGTAATCATTAAAACAACACAGAAAACTCAAAACCAAAATACCACTTCATCAAATGATTCTACTATTTCCTGGTACGAGTATTCAACAAATATTCGTGTTTATGTCCATGTACATGTATAGTATCTTAAATAAAATCAATTTTAAAGGCACTAAATGACATAAATCTACTCTACTTTTCTTTTGCATTAATTAGTCAAATTTTTTTACATAATAGCTTAATTAACATACTTATCTATACAACATTTTAAGTGTATAAATAGACATTCTGATCAGTGAAAAGAACTTAAACTTGAAACTTTAAAGTCAGAAAAGTTCTGGATTCAAAGCACAACTCTATTCTTAATCAGCTAGAAATACTTTAAGAGAGTCTGTTAGCCTCAGTTTCTCCTTCTGTAAAACAGATACTTTAAAAATTTCTTCACAGCACTGTTGTGTAATTTAAATATAACAATGTAGGAGAAAGAGGCTACAACAGCACCTAATACAATACATCATCTTCGATGATACCTCAATTATTCAGAATGAGTCTCAAACAAGCAGTGTTTCCAAGTACCCAACATATATTAATCCCAAGATTCAGGAGTAATAAACTGCATTCTCAGAATTCCCTAAATATAAATCACTATGTATTTTTCACAATATTTTGTATATTTTAAATAATAGTGAATGATATAACAAAGAGAAAATTTTTTCTATGATATGGTTATACTGAAAGTTTCAGAGCTTTTTATTTAAGAAAATAATACATAGTTATTTATTTGTTATGAATCAACATTATTTTGACAAGGTTATATATTTTAATAACATGTAACAACTATTTCTACCAGGCATAGACATTTCATCATAGAGAACACTAAAAGGAAACACAAATGTCAAAAAAAAATTTTAATTTTGAAAGATAAGCCTACAAATCTTCAATATTTAAATTATTCTCAAAAAAATTTTTTAAAATACACATATTATTAATTGCCCTGTCCAATATTCTTGACTTTTGTTTCATGACAAATATCCTAGATAAGAAAAAAATTCTTTCATTTTATATAAACTTTGGACAAATTATTAAGAGTGTACTCAAAGGCATCTTCAATTCAGAGCATCAGGGTACATGTTGCATAATTCAAACTCATCTTTTTACAACACTAAAAATAACACTGTTTACACTGGATGCCACTATTTCACATATTTTTTCTGTTAAAATTTTTACAAAGATCTGTAGCCTATGGTGAATATTCATTCAAACACTGGAAAATGCCAGCAAACATTACTGGATAATATAAAAATGTAACATTTGAAACATATAGTGAGGTTAAAGGCCCTACACAGAATCACATGCTGAAATTGCCAATTTAAGGACATCTTTGCTTCCAAAGTTTATTTCATGGAATACCCTTTGCAGGATTTTGTACTTTAAAGTATACTATGTGTATAAATTTACTAATATTTATTTGTAAGAATAACTCACCATTAATAACAGACAGGCCTATAAAACATACTTATAACATGGCCACAAGAGCAAGACTGACTGACTAATCAGACTATTCCACTTCTCTTCTACATGGTCCTGTCCTAGTCCCAGAAATGTCCACATTAACCTATAGCTCTGCATGTCAGCATTCCTCTTGCTTTCAACTGACATGACTGGATTCCTTTGAACCAGTAATATTCCTTTGAACCAGTCATATTTGTAGTTGACTATTAAGCTTTAATTCTCAGAGAATTATAACACTTCTTCCAATGTTTCAAATTTCTCAACTGATTTGTCTAAGGATTTAGTAAATTTCCTGAGAGAGGCCAGAAAGGAATTACCACATAGAAATACTATTTTGGAAAGAGCACTGCATCCTCGTGAAGCCATTTAAAGAGGTCACTTTGACGGTTGTGTTTTGGATCTTGATTTTGAATTGTTTTGATAGGATGCTCATGGATGTAAAGGGATTATGTATTGAATAGTGATTTTTTTTAAAAAACCAAGATGCTTTTTTAAATACCACAAAATATGTGAGTGGCAAAATATACATATCCAGATTTGAAAGTTTTTTAGATAACCAAAGATTAATTCTTAGCTTTATTTTAAAAGGCAAATACATTAAGTTCTTAGATTTAAAATATTGGTAAGATGTTATTCATTTTCCTAATTAACTTTTTAATCAATTGATAATTCATTTTCATTGTTATAAATTACACTTTTACAAATTACATTACAAATCTTCATGTTAAAGAGATGGATCACTAGGAAAACCACCTTTAATAAAACGTGTAGTACTAAATATAACTTATATGTATTTTGTTAATAAAAGAGAAGGTTGCCCTGGCTGGTGTGGTTCAGTGGATTGAGCTCAGGCCTGTGAACCAAAGGGTCATTGGTTCGATTCCCAGCCAGGGTGTATGCCTGTGTTGCAGACCAGGTCCCCAGTGAGGGGTGCACCAGAGGCAACCACACATTGATGTTTCTCTCCCACTTTTTCTCCCTCCCTTCTCCTCTGCCTTATAAAAAAATAAATAAATAAATAAATAAATAAATAAATAAATAAATAATCTTTTAAAAAATAAGTAAAAGAGAAGGTTTAGGAGTCGGTGAATTTTAGATTGACAGTCACTTTTCCTGCAGGCATTTCAACAATAAAAGCATTTTTAAAGCTTTTAAACATCAATGAACAAGATAAGTTTTGACTATATTTAAATTTTGCTCAAAGTAATGTCCCTTTTTCCTCTCATTATCAACACAATCATTAGCTAGCCCTGTGCTACTTCCTAATTCCTGTGCTACTACCCTTCGCACCTATTGTTCTAAACAAAGTGTCAAGCAATTCTAACCAAGTAGTGTTGTTAGGGCTCCAGCAATAAAGGCCAGGGACTAAGTTCCCAGTAGCAACAATATTATAAGCAGCAACAATCAAGTCCATGTAAATTATGTTTCCTACTTTGTAAAATGAGTTAGAACAGCCAACTTATTTTCCTTTAATCATACTGCAAGAAGAATGCCATACTGAACTATTCCATTCGGAAATACTGATGCTTCCTGAACTATTTCAATATACACAACTATTGAACCCTA